AACACTACTGTGAATTAGAGCTGTAGCCTCAGACCAAAATTAGAATTTCCTGAGTGTTTTCATTTAACTTACTAAAATGGGATTATAGTGTTAGAAGAGATGTATAAAATAAAAACTCAAATTGTTTGGCTAAAGGGGAGTTTTTGGGGGGAGAAAGGGTGGCTAAGGCTCATGAATGTGCACCAGCCTTAGCCATCATTTTCCCAAAGATTAGTGAGCAGAGAAAGAGATGGAGTGGGAGAGAAATTGTGAGACAATGCACATGGAACAATTTGCAACTTTTTCACATGGCCACCAGAGTTGCTCTGTGTTGTCGGGGGGGGGGGGCATGGGGAACCCAGCATCCCTTACCTCTCACATAGCCCAACTCCTCTTCCAGATGATCCAATGGGGGGGGAGCATGGAGTGCACAGCTTCCCCCCATTGCTTGTAAAGGCCTCCCGTGTTGCCGCATCGGCAGCAAGTGCTGGCTCCGCCCCTTCACCCATGGAGCCGTGCTGGTATCATTTGATGGTAGCTGGCGGGTCTGTGAGTGATCTGGGCTAAACTGCCGAATATCGCCCATTATGATTATTTATTTTTTATTTGGAACAAAACTCAATTGAAGTAACATTTTGCATGTATAAGCAAAAACGCTACAAAGACTTTTCAACAGAATGTTCATTTGCTGATTCTGGTACTTCCTGTTGATCAGGACTGGGGGATTAGTGAATACATATCTCTTGAAAAGCCTTTCTAAAGTGCTTTGATTCCAGTGGGGTTTTTTTTTCTTATAGCATCATGAACAGAAGCTTTCTCCCCACATTTTCTAAAATAATGCTATCTAGATCTAGACAATACAATGGTTTCTTAGTGTATATTACATGGAAAAGTGATGCATCACATGTGCTAAAACATTATCATCATCATTGTCATTGTCATCCTGTCTTTACTCCAAAACTGACACAAATGAGAAAGTAAAGATAAGATATAGATATAAATAGGTAAAAGCTTACAAAAATATTTTAAGAACACATTTGAACCATATACGACTTTACAATAATTTAAAATGTATCCATTAAAATACAGAATAGTGCTCTGAGCAGAATAGTACTCTGGTAGAAAAGTAGTCAGGTTAAGGTGACTGATGTCTGTCTACGTGTTTTCTGAAACATGAAACAACTGGGTTGGTGTGTCAGCTAAGAAAATCGTTTGGCCACAATTCTGTATGTTTCTCTGGCATCCTACCTGAATAATGCAATATGTTGTTAATGTGGAGTGGCATTTGCAGATTGGATTATGGATTAGACTTAGTTTATGGACTAGAACAAAGTAAATTGACCATGATTTGCTACTTTTAAATAGTGTAGGTCAGTGCTAGTTTTAAGGTTTGAAACACTGTCAGGATCATCACAGCTCAAGGTCTGTTTTATCTCACCTGAACCAGCATAGAGTAGGGGACTAGATGACTCATGGGTGCCTTTCAAATTCTCTGATTCTATGTTCCTGTGAATCTCCATAATCATTAAAACTCCATGAACCAACCTGGTCCCTTCGATCTTTGGGGGAGGCCCTCCTTTCACCTCTGCCAGTTTCACAGGCTCATCTTGTGGGCACAAGGGAGAGAGCCCCCCCCCGACTCCTTTCTCCTTTGTGCCCCCCCCCCCCGACTCTGGAACTCATTACCCAAAGAGATTAGGAAAGCCCCTACCTTAGAAACCTTTAAAAAGAACCTTAAAACCTGGCTCCTCCGCTGCGCCTTTGGTGAGTAGGTTCACAACCTTACACTACTGCTCCCCTCAATGTTTCTGTCAATAGAGTACCCATTCTCCCCCCATGGGAAAGTTTGGTTCTACAACCCCATTTTTATGAGCTCTCCTTTACAAATAAACTGCTCCTCCTTTTATCTCACCCCGAGTTTTTAACATTTTATCCTGCACATGCGGCCCGCCCACTGTCACTGTGATTGTGTTTATTGTAATTTTATATTGCTAATGTATTCATGTGTTTTTATGTAATTATGTTGTTGTTGCTTGTTGCTTGCATTTTTTGTTTTATTTTCCTGTAATCTGTTGTTCGGGCTTGGCCTCATGTAAGCTGCCCGAGTCCCCATTGGGGGGTAATGGTGGCAGGATATAAATAAAGATTATTATTATTATTATTATTATTATACACAGAGGTCTTCTTTGGATCTTTATATCTATGTAAGAATGTGTGCAGTGGGTCGTGACCTGAGACATGGCCTTTCCTCTATGTATGAGGTCGCAGCCATGCGTGGTGGCTTATTAACACAAACATTTTTATATGCATTTGTCTCTTTTAGGTCATCAAATGTTTAGATCGCTGTTTTACATTAATCCACTGCTGCTAATGATTAGTTGCTTACTATTTTTATTTTATTGTTGTATTGCTTCTAAGCTTTTGTTAAGTGCATCTGGCTTAGAAAAAGAATAGCAAATATTTGAAATAACAGTAACAACAAATAAATTACATGGCAATAAACTTTAGTTTATATTTACTGAAAATTAAGAATTATTTTTGAGATGTTTACAAAATTACATTCAGAAGTGTCCTGTTGCAGGACCAAGCAAAATATGAAAGTTTTTAAATTTACATCTTAGATGCCATGATTTTCAGGAGGAGGTGGTAACCACTAAATACACTACATTATTTTATGTGGTAATAGCATTCTTGCTCCTTTGTTTTTGTGGCTATGTTTCTTTTTTTATTTCACTTTTACTCAAGCAGCTGTGTTGATATCAGAATACTATTTAACAAATAAGATTTTACTACTTGTTAATCCAACTAAGAGCAGATGAATACCACATAGGAGCTAAGAGTCTTAGACCACAAGTGAAACATGACTCAACAGTGTGATGTAGGAGCCAAACAGATGGACAGAAACAACAGAATTCTGGGCTGCGTCAACAATAGTGTAGTGTTCCTGTTGAGGGAAGTTTTACCACCTCATCACAGCTAGTGAAACAGAATCCCACGGATGCCATCCCATGATGTAAGGCCACTTCCGAAGGCCACTAGGTGGCCTCCTGTGATACTTCATTTTTCTAGCATGCTAAAAGGTAGAAAAAGCTCCCTTCTCAGAAGTCTAGTTGTTACCTAACTCCTGCTTCCAGAAATTGGGGGGGGGGGGGGATGCAAGTGGAAGCAGAAAGCAAATGGGAAAGGTTGTGGGATGGTTGGACATCCCAAAAGACATACCCTGCTGGGAGATAATGGGGTGAGATGTTTCCCCACTCTTCAAATTGCTTTTCCATTCATCTCTCTAGTCCTGATGACGTCCGTAGTGCCACTCTCTTCCTTGGTCAAACCTCATCTGAAATTGTGTGTCCAATTCTGGTCATTAACCATTCCAGAAGGATATTGACAAGGTGGAACCTGTACAAAGAAGGGCAATCAATATGATCAGAGGTCTGCCAAGTCTTATGGGGAATGACTTTGGGAGCTTAGAGAAGAAGTCAATGAGAGCTGACCTAATAGTCATCTTTAAATATATGAAGGGATGTCTTGTAGAAGATGAAGCAAGCTTGTTTGTGGTTCACCAATAGATGCACATTAAAAGAAGTAAAGCTCCTCATAAACATTAGGAAGAACTCTTTTTTAAACAGTAAGTGCAGTTCAACAGGAGAATAGATTGATTCGATAGGATCTGAATGCCCCATATTCAGAGCTCTTTAAATAGAAATATTTTGGGAGTATTGTAGCTGTGCATTCCTACATGGCAGGGAATGGACTGGATAGCCTTAGCGAATCCTTCAAATTCTAAGGTTCTATGATTCTGTACATTGAATCGGCTTAATTAATTAGAAGTGACACTAGAAATAAAATAAAATGTTAGACTATCTTCTTCTAAACATTTGAATCAGTTTTTATTTAGATCTTTAAACCTAAATCCACTTGATAGTTCAAACTATGAAATTCATTGGGATTTTTGTGAATGTTGATTTGCCATTCAACAATTTTGGTTGGTACTACTAGTTTGATTTAGGCCTACATTTCCTTCTCCTTTTAAATATTTTTAATTCAGAATTTTAACACAAGAAACCCCACAAAGAAAATGATACTTGAACAACAGTTACATAACAGGGTTTGTTTGTTTGTTTTTTAAAAAACAACAAATAAGAAAAGCATGATGGGGAGTGTGGGGGGTCCCTGTTTCAAAACTGATTCATTACTTTCATTAAAGTGAATGATGAGAAACACTAAAATAATAATATGAGATGAAATAAAGGAAAGCTACACTGATGATATGACTATGTAATGTGCTGCATCTGACTGCACGTGCGCAGACATTTGTCCTCCAAACTTTCCTTCTTCTTTCATAAGCTGTATGTTTATAATGCCCAATGTACCTCTTCTCTTAAGAATATTTGCAACAAAATTATTTCCTATCATCATAAATCTCCCTTAATAATTTAAGCCTTTAATCTTTTACAATATTTATCTGTGCTGTGGGAGCATCCATAGAGCACTGAACTTACTCATAGTTTTTCTTAGAAAAATACATTTTTTTAAAAAAAAATCTAGCATGTTACAAGCTTTACTATATTAACCCCAAATGCATTGATCACTCAGCAGAAGTTAAAAGTATATAGTAACAATGCAAAGCTTTTCAACAAAAGTTTTACGTCACAGAATTATCATCTTAATCACAAACATGTACTGTGTGGGTGTCTTTATCTTACTGTAGGCACATAGTCATTCATTTTCCAGGAGAGTTTGGGAAGGAATTGTGGGCTTTTAGAGAGATATTTCAGAATTTAATCTTTCTTTTCAATAAGTTTTATAATTAATATTTTAAGTGCCAGGAACTTTTCCGCAAGGAAACTTCTGTTTCTCTGAAAATAACTTGCAAAAGAATTGCAATGTTTAATATGGAGCAATATTTCAAGGGTATTTGTCACCATGCTAGTCACTTTTGTTTTCATGTTTGCTGCTGAAACACATGTAAGGATGAACATTTTCTAATAAACCTTTCTTTTCTTGTTCATTTTTTTCTACAGGTTTAAGATTTTTACGAGCTCTTAGACTGATACAGTTCTCAGAAATTTTGCAGTTTCTGAATATCCTTAAAACAAGGTAAGGAGTTAATACATGCTTTTGATCACTTTCATAGTGGCTGAGTACAATGGGAGGGATGGATGGATGAAAATCTTTAGCCCTATGTCTGATTTACAAATATAAGCAAAATTTATGTTAGTTTTTTCTGCTCCTATCATTGCAATTCAGATGAGAACTCCTTTATGATTTTATCTGCAGCAGCATCATGGGGAGTCTGCTTCTGTTTTATAAATTGTCCTTTCCTTATTTGATAGGACATCCAGGGATTTACAGTATAGTCCTATGCATGTTTAATGACAGTGCTACAGCTGTAATGAACAAAATGCTTAACTGTGCTTGGAGAATCCACATCTGCTTGGTCAGTCACATACTGTTGCTTCTCATACAGTTTGCTAGTTTTCCCTTGCGAAACTCTGCTCATGCAGTTTCTTGGCAGCATTCATTGATTGATTAATTCCTGCTTATACTTTACATATCCAATACACATGAAAGCAAACATAAATTGAAAACACTGTTGCATTTCACATCTTACCACATTTTGAAGGGTTTTTCTTTTGCATTCAGTTCATTGACACTGCAGTAAGTAAGTAGTAAGTAAGTAAGTAGTACTGATACTGCAGTATAAGATGAATATTTGTTGAGGGTATATTTATAGCAGATTTTAGGAAAGACCATTTGTCAGAACTTTTAAAACAATATGCACTCTGCTTCTCTCCAAAGTTTGTTTTTTTAAATCCTTATTTTGTAGATATAAGTGACCGAGTTATATCTCTTAAGTGACTGAAGGATTTTCACCCATTTTTCTTTACTCCCCACTCTCAGGCTTATTTGCAGTATACACCCATTCCTCTGTATGGGATAGACAGCAACTAGATTGATTATACATTTTGGAGTTGGCACTTTTTAAAAATTTACAACTCCATTTGACATTTCAAGTTAGTACTTTTAAATTGCAGTTTTCCATTGCTTGATCCAGATGTGCTTCATCCAAATTCTGTAAGAATACATTAGGCAAATTACATGTACAACATTGTATGTATATTTGATTTAATTTGCTGGTATAATTTGATTTTGACATTATTCAGAAGTTTTCCAAGTTTTACTTTATCGGAAAGCAGCTTATCTGGCCTTGATTTTGTTATTCCAGAGTAGCACTTCAGCATGAGATGTGGTGATTTAGCAGGCAAGGGAAAGCAAAAAGGAAAGAGAAGAGCTTCAGAGATAATTGTTTTAAACAGTAGTTTTCAGTCTGTGGGTCCCCAAGTGTTTTGGCCTAAAACTTCCAGAAATCCCAGTCAGTTTACCAGTAGTTATGATTTCTGGGAGTTGAAGGTCAAAACATCTGGGGACCCATAGGCTGAGAACCACTGGTTTTGAAGGTTTAGGACTAGAACTCTCAGAAGCTTTTTGGTACACAACTCCCATTGTCCCTACAACTAAGTGATTATGGAATGATAATCCAAAAAAAGTAACTGTTCCAATCTGATCACAGTATGCATACAGGAAGGAGAAAAAAAACTAGGTGGAGCTGCCATATTGAGCAACACCTACAATTTTTTTAATCCCAAGTAGTTCCACCCTTTAGAAATTGCTTCCAGGCAATAAATGCAAAAGGACAAACTATGGTGACATCCTTGTGAGTGCTTTCCTATTCCCACTCATGCCAGTGGATCTACCCTTCTATAATGATAGTATATTTCCTTTTATAGAGGAAAATACACTAAATAGCAAGTGTAACTGCAGGGATGTTCTTCTTCCTCTACAGTATAGACAACTTCCCATGTGCTGGAATGCTACCAGGGAGTAGCTGAGGCCCCTTCCACACAGCTGAATAAAATCCCACATTTTCTGCTTTGTTCTGGCAGTGTGGACTCAGATAACGTAATTCAAAGCAAATATAGTGGGATTTTCTGCCTTGATAGTCTGGATTACATGGCTGTGTGGAAGGACCCTGAGTGAATATAGTAGACAAATGGTACTCTCACTGGTTTTCAGTGTGATGATGTTGGTCTGCAACAGTTCATGGCAATTTCCAAGACATTATGATCATTTGTAATAAATATGGCACCAGTGCTTGTCTGCTATCTCAGGTCTACTATATCAGGTTGAAAAACAATGTAGTAGGTGAAAACTTGGATGTAGAGTCAAACATGCTGGCAGAGGAGAGAGGCAGGGAGAAGACACACATTCTCTGTGTCTGATAAGGTTATAAGAGTGTCAGTAACCCATTCATAATTCCTTCATTCCTAGAAAATCAGCTGTGTGGGGAAAGTTGTTTATTTATTAGTTGCATTTGTATGGCGCCTTTTTCTCAGAATAAGACCCAAACTGGCAATTAAAATATTTACAAAATTCTAAAAATTATTAAAAGGTAAATCAAAAGAAAAAACAGCATAAAATGATATTTATAAACATATACAATATTAAAAAGAATCCCCCCCCCCAAATAAAAGTTCTCCTGTTTCCACATTAAAAACTTTACTGAATATCAATGTCTTGGCCTGTGAGTCAAAGGAAAGCAAGGAGGGATCTGATTTAGCCTCTCAGAGAAGGGAGTTCCAGAGCATGGGAGCAACCACTTGTTAGCAGAAAGTTGTTTGTCTCTTTCAAATTATCTGTATATTAAGGAAAGGATTTACTATTTTTAAGTGGTTATTCAGATAAAAGAGTGTCAATATAGCTACCCAACCCAAACTAGATATTTGGGTACTTAGTGGGAAGTGGTAATTGGTGCGTTATGTTCCTTTCCTTTCTCCCATTTTGAACAGTTTGATGTTCTGAGGAAGTGGATTAAACTAGGAGCAGTGTGTTATACTTTGCTGTTGTGTGCCTTCAAGATTTTTTCCAGATTACAGCAATGTATCGGGAGTGTGTGTGTGTGTAGAGGTGATGGTGGAGTCTTACCAAGATTTATTCAGAGGGGGTTTCTTTTCCTTCCTCTGAGTCGAAAGTGTGTGATGTGCCCAGGGTCACCTAGTGAGTTTTCATGATTGTGCCGGGATGTGAAGCCTAGTCACTAGAGTCATAGACTAACATTCAAAACACACGCTCTTAATCTCATATAAAAACCTGCTTTCATGTATATTGGTCTACTAATTAGATCTGAGCAAATAATATTTTAACAACTTGCCTGTTCCTGAGGAGGAAAGCCAACACAACAGGCATTGCATATTTGATGTTAATATAGTTAACTTTGAAAATATACACAGTTGTGTACCTACATTATTTTTTCTCCCCTGTCAGTTTCCTAAACTGACTAAAGTGAAGCAATATAAACTGATTACTTTCTCCCCCTCTTTGGTGATTTAAATGAGGTTTCAGTAAAACTTCAGGAGCTTAGACTGGGCTCGGTCAGAATTAGGGATTGCACAGATGTCTCAAACAGCTTAAAAAGCAGGAAAATGTTGGTGCCTAATCCATCTATATTTAGAACCCTGGCTGAAAAGACAAAGCCATCTCATGCACAAGCATTATACACTTATGTATAAACATACAAGATAGCCATTAAAGAATCAATTAAAAACATTTTCAGAAGGCCAGCAAATAGTTTGTCATCAATTCATAAGTTATTACTATGAATCATAAACTTTAAAATGATACTTAAATTATTCAAATGGGCTATTTAAAAGATATATGCCATGCCCTTGGGTAGAGGATTGGTGGGCAACACCTAGCTCAAATGACACAGTCACACAATACCAATCCATTTATGTGGGCCCAGTAAAGTAGGAGTAAAGATTTGCCCACAATGTCACTTGAGACAAAAACAGACAGAACATTTATGTGGTTTTCAGATATGGATTGCTCCTTGCCATGTTTCTTTTTGTCCTAGCTGTGCCTGATGATTTATGCTCCATGGCTGTGTATCTTTAAATGTACTTTGAAATGTAGCAGTCTAGTTTAAAATATATGTTCATCTTCCCTTGATCACTCTTTTGGAAAGCGGAAATCAAATCCCAAACTGAAGATAATTTTGGCATAATGAAGAAATACTTTGTGGGTATTATGGACTGGAGACTACTGATTATTCTCAGCATATATACTGATTGTGTCTCCCATATCTGAAATGCTCGGTACAGATTATTGGTTTTGAATTCCTGTATTTGCATAGTGAATGAGGGATAGGGGCAAAGGGGGCTAGTCACATGTCCAGCACTTGATGATTTTTTTTGTCCTCAAGGCATCCTTACAGTGGAAAGAGAAAAGAGGGAAGTAGGCCACTTATCCAAGGCCCTCTGTAAAAAGCAGATTCTTGTATCTTCTTCAGCTATCAGCACACTCAGCACTGTCCATTTTGCACAGTAGTTGGGAAGGAATATCAAACTCCTCCTCCCTATCCCCACCTGCCAATGAGGTCACTCAATGCTTACTTTTCTGGCTATTTCCTGCCTGCCCCCTACTGGCCATTAGCCTGATAAAAGACAAGAACAGAAGTACCTGTGATAATAATATAATAATAAAACTTTATTTATATACCACTCCATCTCCCCGAGGGGACTCAGAGCAATTTACAGGTAACATCACAAAACATACAAAGTAAAAACAACATAACCATAAGATTAACAAAACAAAATATAAGCATAATAATATTCGCCATAACACACATATATTAAAAGAGTCCTGCCTGTTCAAGGCAATTGAAAAATTTAAGAAGGCCGGGCCAAGATTTGGGATAACTACTGTTTATAGAGATTTGTGTAAATGGAGATTCCCCCTTCCCCATCTCCTCTTTCCCAATCAGAAAAAAGACAAACTCAGTGGACAATTAATTTGTAACTAGCCCTCTTTTCTCCAAAAATGAAAGTGAGAAGCTGGAAGCAAAAAGTTTTGGATTTTGAAATGTTTCAGATTTTGGATTCCAGATAAGGGAGACTTGATCTGTATTCACAAAGAAATGATTCCATGAGCAATTCAACAAACCATGGAGTTTGAGAAAGATTCCAAAGCATTCTTCAAATCAAATACTGAGATTCTCACCTTGGAATTTCTTTCTATTTGGGCATGTGGTTTGTTGAGTTGACTATGGCATCCATTTGGCTAGCCTGATGCCTTAACACATAAAGTAGGACAGGAAGTCCTAGAGGGAAAGTGATGAATCTCCATGATACCAGAATTAGTTCTTGAAAAAATTATATTTAGTAAAGGAAGCTCAGCTGAAAAACAACTCTAAGAACCTCTTTTTTCTCTATTCTTCACTTTTAAAAAACCCAGTAATTCCATCAAGTTGGTGAATCTGTGCTCAATATTTATTAGCACATGGCTGACAGCAGCTGGATTTATACATTTGGTAAGTATGATTTGAAAAGACTTATGGTGGTGGTGTCATGGATTCCTTATCATTGTTATGACTTTCCTGAACCTTGTTTGTCTTGTCTAATGCATGCTCACAAATACAGTGTTTTAAAAGGCAGTTTCCTATTTTTTGACAATGTAAGGGGGGGGGGGCATATTTTTTTCCACCCATGATAAAAAAAATCCAACCACATGATTCACAACTATTAGAAAAATTCCAATGCAGGTTTCCAAATACTTTCAGTTATCTTTGGTCTTGCTAGCTGATATGGAGGGGAAAAAGTACAGGAAACATTAAAGTAAATGTCTACCCCACTCAGCTCCAACTTGCTGTCACTCAAGCTTTTTTGCATCACAGTAATAACATTAGTGTGTGTGTGTGTGGTGGGGGGATAGGAATAAAAATCAGAACTGCTTTTAATTTTGTCTTAACCTAACAATTAAGCAATTCTGGAATTAAATACATCTTTAAGTGCATTTGTCAAAGTCAGTAAATATCCACGAGGTGGCACTCTTTCCTCAGTAAAAGCCACTAACATTCATCACTACAGGCAGGATACTTGTGCATATTTATAACAAGTAACTAACATATTACTGACATTTATGTAATACTAGTAATATGTTAGTTGTTTCTTCCAATAATTATTTGTACAATACTTTAGTTGTGTCTGTATGTTCCCAAACCGAAGCATATTTTGCTTTGCAGACATATCCAAAATAATGTATGGCAAAGAGAGAGAAAAAATTGGTTCTGAACATGCAACAGATAAATGTCTGAGCAAGGAGCTAACCCTCTACCTTTCAGAGTTCACCAGCATGCTATTCATGTATGGAAGGGAATATTCTTCTTTTACTTTGCAGAATCCCAAACATTTATCTGCTGTTATTTTTCTGTTGTAGGTGGAGAACTCAGGGGATCCATGGGAAAACTTCCAAAATAACCAAGCGCTTACATATTGGGAATGTGTTTATTTACTAATGGTTACTATGTCCACTGTTGGTTATGGAGATGTTTATGCAAAAACAACCCTTGGTCGCCTTTTCATGGTCTTCTTCATCCTCGGGGGATTGGTAAAATTCTTATGTTATTTTGTGTTGGATTTCTTTTTCAGTGACGTTAGCAGTGATTATATGGATGAGCTGTTTAAAATATTGCAAAATATATTGGAAAAACTTGCATTTTGTATAACTGTTTATTTAACTGATGTTGAATCCTTAAAATGTAATGCATGCAGATACAGAAAGTTCCAGAAGAATTTGTAATATTAACTTAATAATTACTGGCGGTTTTTTAATTTGGTGATTATAATACTGATAATTTAAAGTTAGCTGCGGTTTCAAGAACCCCCCTCCCTTCTGTGTTCCTTCCCAATATTCCAACAAACACTGTGGCTTAGGACCATCTTTAAAGAGCCGCTTGCCCGTTCTAGACAATGGCAAAACGATGATCTTGTTCATTTCAATACACAGCAACCATGCAAGGTAACATGGTGCTAACATATGCTATCAGTACACATTTCCAAACAGGTCAGCAAGTTATGTCTCTGCTGTGCTTGAACATGCTGAGTAAGTACATGGAACAAAAGTAGATCTTTAACTTGTTTCTAATCAAATTGCCTTTGTTATTTTTCTGTCAGTGTCAAAGATACTGTGGCAACCATTGCAAATTTTTGTTTTAAAAAACAGCATTCCTAGTACTAAGATATACATTTTACAAGGTAAGTAACGTATAAAATTCAGCCTATCCTATATGTACTACGTACATTAAGTCACATAAGCAGTGTAAGTCTTCTTACATAGTTTCGTATATCTCATATACATCTCTTTTAAGGGATGTTGCATCTACCAAGTGCATTATAAATGCAATATATTTATATGCATTTATTTCTAATGTTGAACCAAAAATGAGGCCAAGTTCGCTGGCAGCAGCTCTTAGAAGTATCCAGCCACACGCAAAATGTTTGTTGGACAAAACATGGCAGATTACATTTCCCCTCCTCATCACTTTTTTCTTTTGCATTCTTCCATGTTCTTAACAACTTTTTTAAAAGGCAAACTTTTAAAAATATGTATTATTTTAACTACACCATGTTCATTCACATGCGTGTGGAGGAAAGCCTCTGCTACCATCTTGTTTTCTTTGATAACGGGGGATTCTCCCAGTCTTTTGTAATTTAGTAGCATAGTAAATAACCCATGCTTTTTTGTTTGCTTTGTCTTTGTTGGGGCATTTTGGCGGTCTGTAATCTTTGGATATTTCCGCTTGCCCCCCTTCAGACAATTGTAGCCATGGCAGTGCTTTGTCAATTGGTTGCTACGTTGACCTCATTTTGTTCTTGGATTTTTGTTTTGTTTTGTTTTGTGTGCCTTTCTCCATCTTTTGATCATTTTCTTTAGTTGCTCAGATGTGCATCTCTTCAAGACCAACTTTTGTGTTCAACCTTCTTGTTTTGATTTTATAAAAAGAAACATTTTTTAAAAAACCCTTTTGGGAAAAAATCTTTTATGGATCTAAGTCTTTTGCATTTTCGGATCTTAAAGATAATATATCTTCTTAAAATATTCATCATCCCCCTTTCTTTGGCCTCTCTTTTTAGTCTTTTCTTCTGTCTCCTATCTTCTTCCTTAGGCCATGTTTGCCAGCTACGTCCCTGAAATCATAGAGTTAATAGGAAACCGCAAGAAATATGGTGGTTCCTATAGTGCGGTTAGTGGAAGAAAGTAAGTATTCCAAGAGGCTCTGCTGCCTCTGGTGCAGTAGAACACTCTCTGCATGCCATTTTCTTTTTTTGTTTTTGTTTCATGCATGTAGGCAATGTTTGCGCGCTACGTGCCAGAAATTGCTGCTCTCATCCTTAACCGGAAGAAATACGGCGGGACTTATAACTCAACCCGAGGCAGAAAGTAAGTCTTAAAATAAAAAAAAGTCCAGGCGTGGTTGTGTGACGTTAAACAGCCCGCCATGATGGTGACATCTGACTCACGGACACACCATGATGCACTCCTCTCTGTGTGTGTTTGTGTGTTTGTGTGTGTCCTGTTGACATCAAATGTCCTTTTTAAAAGTTGTCACACTACATTTTAGAGACCTGGGCCATGCTAAGGTGCAAGTCACAAAAGTATCTCCTGTTCTGCAAGGGAAGTCTGGACAATACCAGGACTCAGCTTGCATAGTCTTGAAGATAACCCTGCTATTATTAACTTGCTATCAGATCTGAGAGTTAAGCTATTTATGTGCTAAAATTCTGTCCATTAGAAAATAACTACTTCTGTGTAGATGTTATACAAATATGGATCTTATGATCCATCCCTATCTTAAGATCTGTAAAAACCCTTCCAATGTTACTATCTTAGCAGTGTGCAGCAAAAACCAAAAGGCTGTGCTCAGGTAGAGGCACTGGACCTGAACCCATAGCTCTCATGATGTGCCTGAATATAATGGACACCCAAAAAAGCTGCCACACTCATAGAGATGAAAGTGCTTGCATATGCAGCTTCTACATGAAGCTCCAATTCTTCCAAGTGGCAGCACCCCACTAAGAACTTTGGATGGCTGCTGTATGTACCACTAAACTACTTCTGAGAGTAATGCAGACAGTATGAGCATACCCTATATTAGTTTCCTTGGAGATTTGATGCATGCACATTAATATAGGACTAAGTCCCTTCCCCTCCCCACCCCTGAAACATGTTTTATGTAGGCCCATGTGTTTGTGATCTTAAATGACTTTGACACAGATATCTCAGTCAAAAGATTGCCAAAAGTTTTTCTTCCACTGATTTTACTCTCCCTTGGAAATCTCAATTATGTTTTCATTAATATTTGTGTGATAACATAATTTCTAAGAAGTTGTCCAGGTTACTATTTTAAAATCCTTCCTTATATACTTCTTTCTTCCCTCCTCAAACATATAAGTAGTTAAAACAGACAAGCCACTAACACAGATAACATTTTTGTGAATTGAATGCAATCATATACAATATACTAGCCTTCAGAAATAGATTGCCAAAAATGAGCATCATTACTTACCTTGACAATGCTAAAAGGAGCTGTGCCCAATACCTAAAACTCTGCCCAATACCTACTGTGGAGATGCCTCAGACAGTCTGTATGTGATCTTCCCAGTTGTATCCAACTGCACATCTTTGTCTCATTTTCTGTTCATTTCATTATATGTTCTGCCATTTCACAGAAAAGAAGATGGAAAGAGCTAATTATCTCACCCTAAATTAAATCCCCTGGTCAATAGTAATATATTAAGTGTACATTTACCATTTTGTAACTCATAGAAGAATGAACATTGCAGCTATTTCATTTTAAATTAAATCATGGAACATGCTTTCACTTGCGTGTAGGGTTTTTTTTTTAAAAAAGAAAAGCACACACACACAACCACCATCAGCTTTATCTCACTCTTTGAATATTGGATCAATTTGGCCCTGCCTCCACAAGTTACCAGTCCCCAAAACCCTGTAATCACATATTTGCTAATTTTGCAGTATTATAACCCCCTTGTGTTGGCAATTAGCAATATTCCAGTTCATTTATTTAGGCACCTAACACTCATTTAACTAGGATCACCATAGTTCTTTTCCTGTTCCTGTCCCAACAATTGTGACAAAGCCCAATCAATAAAAAATGCCAAATCCTAATCATATAAAGTTGTGTCATGTATGAGCCTCATTAATCAAAATTGAGAATGAGAAATTAAAATGTTTTAAATAATTAAATAATAACAAAACTTTATTTATATCCCGCTCTATCTCCCCTAGGGGACTCAGGGCAGTTTCCAATCGTAATAACACAAAAACATACAAAGTAAGCAAAACATAGGGATAAAATTATTAATATAACACAAACACATTAAAGCCACTCCCACCATACACACAAAAGTTCCTCTTGCTATTCTCTGACCCCTGTTGAGCATCCCTCATCCAGAATTCTTAAATATTTAGATTGTCCACATGGGTTGCTAAGGTACTGGCACCTTTGCTTTCTAATGGTTCAATGTAAACAAACTTTGTTTCATGGACAAAATCATTTAAAATATTGTATAAAATTAACTTCAGGCTATTGTATAAGGTGCATATGAAACATAAATGTTTATATTTGGGTTCCATCTCCAAGATAACTCATTATGTATTTATTTGCAAATACAGGTATTCCAATACCCTAATGATAATAATAATAATAATAATAATAATAATAATAATAATAATAATAATTGTCTGATGTGTGATCGAATACAATAGCCAGCAGAGTGTCTGCTCTGGACTCATCTTGTTGTGTTTCAAATAGTAATAGTAATAATAATAATAATAATAATAATAATAATAATAATCTGAAACCCTAAACACATCTGGTCCCAAACATTTCTGAAAAGGGATACTGAACTGTAGATATAATCTAGCACTCACCAGCTGGGTACAAGAATTAGCATACATTTTTGCAGAATCTAGCAGAGTTAAATACTCTTGAATTGTACCACTTCAGGCTGCTGATGAGAAAATATTTTTAATAGGCTCCACATAAAAACAAATCATAATCCTTGTGAAAACCACAATTTTCTATTTCTGCAGTATTTGTCATATTTGGAAGTTTTTTCACATGAGAAAGTATTCCAATAAGGCAGGCATGTAGCCGGAGGGGGGGGGGGGGGGGGGGTTGAGGGGCTTCACCCCCCCCCCAATTCTCAGGGTGGTCCGTGATAAGGCCTTCCTGGTACATTATTTAAACTGTTATGTTTATTTATATCTTGATCTGATCACTATGCTCAATATATCCCATATGCATGGGGGTATTGGGATAACGATACAAAAGGTTTGCTAGGGTAGATCCTCAGCCCCCCCCCAATCAAAATCCTGGCTATGGGCCTGCAATAAGGCATCCCTAACCTGTAGTTTGAATCACAGCAAACAGATCTGAAAGATATTTGTATTTGTTATGTTCAGTTAATTGATCTTTAATTAAAATCTTCCATGTTTTGTCTAATTCCCCAGAACATTGTGGTTAGTCAGTGCCAATATCCTGCAGTCCACAGAGAAGATCCAGAATTTAAGCCTATGTCTTCTCAAAAAAGGGAATAAACCTCCCTGGAAAAACAGAGTTTGGAAAAGTTCCGTTTAGTGTTATCACTTTTTTCAACTTTCAGAATTCCCCACCAACATGATCACTTTTCTACAAGCATTATCTTTTTCAAGCTCTGTGAAAAATGTGTGCAGGACTGAAACCTAAGCAATATTTAATAAAGCACTTCGATAAACAGGATTACAGAGATATATATGGCATCCACTGTCATTTTGCCTGGATAAATAACACTAAAAGAAGATAGTATGTAAAAAATGTTTTGTCACTGGTACCTAGCATTACTCTGTTGTCTCTACATACAGATCTGATCTTCACATCCCCACAGTCTGGTTGCTTCAACAGTAACATGCAGGCTTCTCTGCTAGCTTTGTGGCTTGCTTAACTTTATTTTCTCTTTGGGAGCTTCAGCTTTCCTTTTCAAATATGCTCTTTGTTTTGTCTCCATTCCTCTGTCTCTTGTTTGCCTGTATATATTTTGTTGATTTAAGCTGAACTCTGTCATCAGTGCATAGAGCGTTCGATTTAACTTTATGCATTATTTCCTGGTTCAAAAAACTAATTTCTAAATACTTTGGAGAAGCCTTTGTTCCCATTCATCTTTCATCAGAGCACATAAGCTTGGGAACAACATAGTAAAAAGCCATTAGCGATCTTATGTTTGATATTGGTTTTGCAGTCAGTAGAACAAGATTGATGAAATGTTATGTTTGGCCAAAAATTTGAGTTTTCCTTTGGCATTCATATTGAGAGAATGGGCTGTCAGAACCAATAACTTTTCCATTGCCTAGGATTGGAGGCATGTGGTAATAATTAGAAATACATGGTTTTTAACTGAGCCTCTCAGCACAGATTCTGGCAGCAAACATAATGAGAAACTACAGTTCTGCGATTTCTAATGTCAAAAAGTTTCCAGATAAAATCAAATGCATTTGCAAAAATTGGAGCTGCTAAACGGTGTTGAAAGATGTTATTCAGAGTCTTAACCATATGTACGTGTTTCCTTCTTTCAGAAAGAACTTAAGCTCTTTTCTTTATACGTATATACTTAAAAAAACATGGTGACATAAAGTAGGGAGTTCAGAATAAAGGCTAGCTGAGTATGAAAGCATTGCAGTTTTATTCATCGTTTAAGATAGTAATATTGTACACACGTACTAGAGAGCCTGAGCTATGAATGTAGAAGTTTCTGTTTGGAATCTAGCGTCGGTCATAAATGTGTTGTTAAGACTAAGCACTGCTTTCTCTCCTTCTTAGCCTATTTCTATTTGAAATATGTGATGATAATAAGCTTTGTTATAGGAATTATGGAGACCAACTATTGCTGCTATACAAAATAGTTTGGACACACTAAAATATATTATGAATAATCATTAAAATTATTTAGTTTGTACGGGTCACTAAAGCAACAAAATAAACCAACTAAGTCATTACATTGTTAGAATCTGCTACATGTCCTAACTTTCCATTTAGCATTTTCTATCTGCGAACAAGCAAATAATGAGCATTTGGTCCATTGGTTATCAATATCCTAGTGTTTTTTCTTTCTCTTCCTCAGTGAGTCTGTTCCTCATTGTTTTTTCAGGGAAGGAGGAACTATCTGTAGAACTCAGTTCTGGGTGAGAAATATGGTACC